AATAAAAATAATAATAATATTATAATAATTTAATCAATTTATAATAATTTAATCAAAACTAAAATAGGATTTGCATATTAATGCAGCAGTTTGTAAAGCTAATTCAGTCCTAAGTTTGATTCGTCGAACTTTCAAAAACTTAGATGTAAATGTAGTTAAAAAATTATATATAACAATTGTGCGTCCACATCTTGAATATGCTGTGCAAGTTTGGTGTCCCTATCTGAAAAAAGATATTGACAAAATCAAAACGATTCAATGAAGAGCAACCAAACTCAAAAAATCTTCTTACAAAAAAATGATTTAAAATAACGAATTTGACAACCTTACAAGAACATAGGATGCGAGGTGATTTAATCCAACAATAAAAAATTGAGCACAATTAAGATATTATAAATTCGGTTCACAAAAATGAAACACGCTTTAAATCTATGTCAGCACAAATAAACTTTGAATAAATCTTTTTTTAAAAGCAAGTGTAGATTTAACTTTTTTTTCAACAGAGTAACTAACCCATGGAATAGCTTGACAAATGATTTCGTAGACGCTAACTCAATTGATAAATTCAAGAACTACCTCGACAAATCGTGATTAAATACTATAATTATTCAAAAACGAATATTAGCTGTTATAGAACAATATCTTATGTTGTTGTACTCTACATCTGTTCTCAGTTGTTACGGCTCCGACTTATTACATATTATATAACCAATTATTATTACTACAGAATAAAAAAATAATGATCATTGTTTACAAAAAGTTTAGTTTTTACCTTAACCATATCAAGTAATATGTATGGACTGAAACCAATAAATATTTATTATGTTTGAAAGTCTTTTCTAACTGTAGTTTTATCTATTTATCTATTATATATATATATATATATATATATATATATATATATATATATATATATATATATATATATATATATATATATATATATATATATATATATATATATATATATATATATATATATATATATATATATATATATATATATATATATATATATATATATATATATATATATATATATATATATATATATATATATATATATATATATATATATATATATATATATATATATATATATATATATATATATATATATATATATATATATATATATATATATATATATATATATATATATATATATATAAATATATATATATA